AGGAAGCCTTCCTGCTGGGCGGCCCCTCACAGCCCCTCCTGGACCCCCAGCCCCGCACCGTGCTCTTGCGCTCCATCCGCTGCCTCTGCACCCACTGCATCTTCCTCTCCCGGGCAAGGTTCTCGGGCTCCACCACGCCTGCAAAGCCCAGGTTCTCCTCTGCATACTCGTGACCTAGGGACCGCCATGGGGCCGAGTGAGAGAGATTGCAAGGCAGAGAGAGAGATTGGTGTGTGGTCAGAAAAAGTCCTCCCTGCCCTAGGCCTATGTGTACCGACAACTGGGGAGGAGGGGCAGTGCTTCCACGACCACTCGAGCCACATGGAGCTGCTTCCCTGAATGTGGGCACAAGTCGGCCATGAGTAAAGAGGCAGAAGCCGTTCAAGGGGATAGCACCAGGCCTGGAACCAGGAGACCTGCATTCTAGCCCGACTCCGCCTCTGCCCAGCTGTGTGACCTCAGTCAAGTCATGGCACCTCTCTGGGCCACAGTTTTCTTTGGCAAGTGAAGAAAACAATAATGCCACTTGAACAAGGATGTGTCTCTGGTTCCTGGAACAGAGCCTGGTACATGTTAGGTACGTACCAGGCAGGGGAACAGCTTGAACAAAGCTGTTCAATAAAGTATGAATGAATGGATGGATGAAATTATGTTCTGAAGATTAACCGGGATATTAGTGAATGTATTTTGCAAACTATGGACATGCAGTATATAGTCTGTCTGTCTGTATGGACATGCAACATGTGGATATGGATGCATTCAACGGACACATGCAGACTGGACTTACTGACTTCTACCTGGTGAGCACAGGCTGTTCTCTGTCCTGGGCTCTGGCGAAGCAGAGGCTTTACAGAGCCAGCCCTCCAAAAAGAAGGGAGCTCTGCCGCTGCTGCTCGAGTGGGCTCCTGGGAGCCACCCGAGGTGGAGCTGTGTCACCTCTGGACCAGGAACTGAGTCAGCAGGGACGCTAAGGGGGTGAGGGGCCAGGAGAAGTGGGAGGGGCACCTCACCAGGCCACAGCAGAGTGTCGTCCCCCAGCCCCAGCACAGTGTCCAGTGAGCTCAGCATGGTCTCTGCAGTGCCCTCAAAGGTCCGTCCTGGTGTGGTCAGAGAGCGTGTTACAAGGTACAAAGATAACACAGCATGCGATAAGGTACGCGAAGCAGGGTGGGGACCAGCTGGCACAGCGTGGGCTGGCCACCAGCCCTCAACCATGCCTGGGCACGCACCCCTCCTAGGCATCTTACTCCCTCCTTCCCACTGGGAGCAGGGCCCAAACATTCACCCCCAGCCAAGCCCATCCGAAGGCCTCCATCACACATATTGACACGTGGAGTGCCAAGAGGGGGGTGCCAAGTCTTCAGGCTGAGTTCTAGGACCCCAAGCAGTCATCCTGGGTTGCTCTTTTCCCCAGAACACTTCCTTCTTTGCCTGTGCTGCCTTTTGGGACTCCACACAGCCTGGGACTTGTGATCCCCCCCCAACCACAGTATCATCCTCTTATTCAGGGGTTCTCAAGGTTTCGTGACCCAGTCCGCCAGTAAATATATCAGAGAACCAGGCTCTACCCAGTGGAATCAAACGCCCTGTGAGGTCTGTATTCAGTTACAGGCATTGTCTCATTCTGTCCATCCCCTGTGGGAAGTGGTGATACTTAAAAAAAAAATGGGGTAACATAGGTAACTGTAACTCCAAATCGGAGTAACTGCCGAAGCAACATCTGTGCCGAAACCCATGCTTTAAAATGCTTTAATGCTGTGTGGCCGTCCTTGGGCCCCTGCCCTGGCCTCTCTCCCTCACTTCTATTCCTCTCTCTTCTCTTTGGGGAACTCACCACAGCCAGAGAGGAAGAGCAGGTCTCCTGAGAAAAGGCAGGAGGGACCCTTGTAGGGCTCCCCATCCAGCAGGTAGACCAGATGGCCTTGCGTGTGGCCAGGGGTGGCCAGAGCCCGGATCTGAAGCCGTCCCACGCTAACCACATCTTGATGACACAGGGGACTGAGGAGCAAGACAATAGGGGAGAGAAGGTACTAGAACTTATGGCAGCCATGCTGGCCCTGTCCCACTGTAGGCCCAAGAGGCTGGGTGATTCACAGGAGTCAAGCTTTCTACACCAGAGAGAGAAGGCACCCTCAGTGCCCAGGGCTTCGGAGCCAAAATCTCCCCTCTTCCTGTTTCGGGGACCATGGCTGGATCAGTGGGGGGACTGGCAGTAACGGTCTTCAAACGGGCTGTGATCTGCTCTCTAAGTTCCGGGAAAGGCATCAGCAAAGATTCAACTGCAGATACCCGCGAAATACTCAGCTGAAGGATGCGGGTGAAGAAAAGGGCCCGCAGAAGAGCCATCCCACCCCTGGGCCAGGCACTCACTGGGTGAGGTAGGGGATGCCATCCTCAGGGCTCCCGTACACCCTACATTCCTGGTGCCGCCGGCTGAGGTCACGGTTCCCTCCACTGTGGTCCCTGTAGGTAGGACAGCAGAGACAGGCAGGGGCTTTGGGCCTCCTCGCCTCCCTCTTCCCCATGGCACCTCCAGGCCTTTGAGCCCTGGGGGCCTCGGCTTCTGCACTGAGCCAGGCCTTCGTTTAAGCTACTCTCCTGCCCAGAATGTCATCCCTACAACTTGCCAACACCTACCCCCGATTACCCGGCCAATGCCAACTTAACTTTCTCAGCCCCAGGGTCGTCAGCCTCTAATTCCTCCAAGTGAATCTGGTTATGCCCCACCTGGTACCTCCCACACCTTGTACCCTGTGCCACTGCTACGGTTATCATCATTTATTACTATGCACTTCCATACAGGGCCTGTGTTGGACTATGATCTCCTTGAGAGGAGAGATCACAAGGTTTGTCCATGTCCAGTGCACAGGAGGCATCTAATATATGCACACAGAGTGAAAAATAAATGCCTCCCCTGCCCTGCCCTCCTCTGGGGCTCCAGGAGCCTGGTAAGTGGAGCAGTGGGAGACTTGACCCTCTCCTTCCCTCTCTGCTGGTGCCCCAGTGCTTCATGAAGAAGGTAGGTGACCTCCATCCTGACTCCCTGACCCCCAGCCCAGCCTGTTTTACAGGGCCCAGTCCTGGCCACCCCAGCCGGGGCAAGGGTCAGCCAGGGAAGACTGTCTGCACCCAGACCCTCTACCCCAGCCCCTTACCAGTGCTTGTGGGTGCAGAGGATGCCAACCAAGGTAACGCCCTCCTTTTCAATGGAAGCCTGGAGGAGAGAGGACGTACCGAGACTGAGGGACAGGGTGCAGCACAGGACATGAGGCAGAGAGAAACAGGGGCATGGGTGCTGGGTAGAGAGGAGAGGAAGGGAGAGGAGGGAGGGACGATGGAGAGGGAGGGGATGGAGCGAGAGAATGAGAAGGGTGTGGGAGCAGAGGGCTGGGGAAAGGGAGGAGGGCTGAGACCCAGCATGGGCACATGGGAGAAGGCGGGAGGGGCGAGGGGAGGGGAGAGGGAAACTCGTGGAGCGGGCAGACACACAGACACATGCACACACAGAAATAAGAAATGAAAGGGAACATGGAGAGACCCGGATACTGACACGGGTGAGGAGAGAAGAGAGAAGAGAGAAAGGGGGCCACAGAGAGTGAGAGAAAGAGCAAACCTCTCAGAGCCAGGGGCCTGGGTCAGCATCGCTCTCTCTGGCTCTGATGGTCCCACTGCTGCCTTCCTCCCTTCCTCCAGCCACGGCCTGGACACCAACCCTCCCCCTGGCTGTGGTTGTGGGGGTCTCTACGTGGATGTACCCGTTGGGGTCTGTGTGTGAGTGCATTGGAGGGGGCGCATCCCATTGGCAGAGGGACCAGGGTCAGCCCGTCTCTAGTGAGAGGCAGCTGTCAGTCTCCAAGGTGACCCCAGGTACCCCTGCCCCTCACCTGCACAGCCTGAGGGTCTGAAGGGTCCACAGCCACAGCCAGCCGGGCCTGGGTGTCGATGATGAGGTAGCTGTAGTTGTCCGAGAGGACGGGGATGGGAAGCACCTTCACTCCTGGGGACAGAGATGGGCTGTGGGTGGGGTGGCGCGCAGGGAGCCCAGCAGTTGGGGGTATGTGACAGGGGTTAGGCAAGAAGGGGGGGTGGGCACGACTGGGGCAATGCAGGCCCAGGGCAGTCAGAGCTCACCGTTGAAGAGGCGGGGCTGGGTTCTGGAGTGGCCTTTGGGGTAGCGATTCCGAGCCCTGCGCAGCTGCTGGCGGTAGAAGAGGTATCCGAGCCAGGTGCGGGTGTACAGGCTGTACCTGCGGGGCAGGATGTCCGTGCTTAGCCCCCACACCCCGGACCCTCCGTGATGCCCAGGCCCCATGTCTCCGCTCCCGTGGCCGTCCCTCAGTCTGTGGTACTCCACCATCACTTACTGGACACCTGCTGTTTGCCCTGCTCAGTACTCAGGACAAGACGGAGAACAAGACAGACACACCCCCGGTTCGCAGCCCATCAGGGGAGAAGTGAAGAATGCAAAGGGAGACTTCTGGAGGGTGAGGGGTTTACTTGGTGAAAGGGATGGAGGAGTTAGGAAGCTAAATTAGGCAAGAAATATATTTCAGGAAGAGCAGTGACATCATAGTGATGCTCAGGGATGTTGAACCAGATTTCTCTGCCTCACCAGAATCAGCAGGTCTGGGGTGGGGCCTGGGAATTTGCATTTCTAAAAAGCTCCAGGTGATGTTGATGCTGCTGGTCCAGGAGCCACAACTTTGAGAATCACTGGGGTAGGGGAAATTATAATAGCAGACAATAGGGCTTGTTTGGGGAAACTAGAAAGTTCTGTTTGGCTGTTTGGTGGAGGGAGAGGTGAAGCTGGATAGGCTGACCACACTCCCTCCCTCCTCTGGCCACCATTCCAGGCCATTCCAGGTCATCCCAGGCTACACAGTGAAAAGGCAGCAAAAAGAAAGGAGATGACGTGTGAGTGACAGAGTCCTCTGCATACAGAATGCCAGCACTCAGGGCCAGCTTCACAGGTGTGCGACCTGTGTGGTCACACAGGGCCCCCTGCTTGGTTTAATGCTCTGCTGTTGCCATCTTGAAATTCTTAATGATTTTACCTTTGACCTTGTATCTTGTAAGTAAAGTCTGATGGAACAACATACACACAATATGTGTATGCTCTGTTCCTCGCTGTCCCGTACACATATCGTGTTGGCAATGCCCCATGAGCACAGAATTCTGGTGGGCCTACTATGTGTGGGAACTCGACAAGACTCAAAGTAATACAAGGTGAGCGTACATCTACGACTGAGTCAGGGGAGCACTGACTGGCCTGAATTTGCTTCAAAGACAGAAAGAAAGCAGTGGGTTTCTAGGAAACCCTACCATATCCTTTCTCACTCGTGTTACTTCCCTGTGTGATCAAACCGTCTATGCCGCAGACGATGCTACAGAAGGAAAGGGAAAGGGGGTGACTGGTCTGTCCTCCTCCTTTTAGTTCTTCCTCGACAGCAAGCTGCAGGTAGAGTGTGAAGGCAGAGAGAGCAGGTCGAACGTGGGTGTGTCAAGAAGTGAAATAAAAAACAGTTGAGTTAGTTTTGTGCAGCGTTTCCAGTGTTCTGGTAAGAACAAAATAAATCTCCCTATAAAGTTAAGAAATGTGAATTAAGTCGTTTCAGTGATTCACACGAGTTAAATGTTCTTACACTTGCATTTTGAAGACTGGTATTGCATAATATAAAAATGAATGGTAAAACTTATGCTAATGATTTAGACTTTTAATTTTTCTTGACTTAGAATATCATTAAATAGCAAATTAAAAAATTCACGGCGAGTCGAAAGAGAGACTGTGGAAGAAAAGCTTTACATTTCAGTACCTTTCATGGCACTTTTCCCCTTTTTTTCTGCTTTTTGAACAAGAGGCTCAAAATCTCATTTTACATTGGGCTTTACAAAGTACGTAGCTAACCCTGCCGACATGGGAAGGAGCTCTCTCAGGCCCCGGCCCCTCAGAAGGGAAACTGAAGCAGGGCTGGGTGTGGGGCAGTCAATGCTTAGGGCTACACAACAGGTCAGTCAGAAAGGGTGTGGGATTCTGCCTGATTCAATTGGAGATGGAAAAGTTGATGGACCATAAACCTCTACTGAATTTCCTGTATCTACGTTGGGGAGGGGGTTGGGGTTCAGGGTAGACCACTCTTCAAGCCCCTTTGGAAACAACTGGATCAAAACCAAGCAGGTTTCCACGACAGTTTGGTAGGAAGGATTTTGCTGAAGTTTAATCATGGCGACCCCTCCGTTGTGTGTCCACGCACTTGTATTGACTGGGAATTTCAACACAGTATGCGGGGGGGGGTTTGCCATCATTTGTGTCTTTATGCTCGTTTTTTGTTTTTGTTTGTCTGTTTGTTTTACAGTAGAAAAGTTTTCATTAGAAGGGAAAGTCCACGTCCGCACGTGGAAGCGAGCCTGAGCAAGAGAAGCGTGGCTTAACAGGCCTATACCTGTTTTCCATAAGCCCTCTTTCTCTTGTATTTTTAAGTCAGTTTCAGCCACTGCGAACTTTCACTCATTCAATGATATTTAGTGGGGCCTTGCTATTAGCCTGCTCTGGGCACACAGCTGAGAAAGGCAGAGTCGGTGCCCTCACTCAGGTTATATGCTAGTGGGACAGATAGGACAATAAACATATTGGCAAGTAAAGATGACGACATAAAACAGGGCAAAAGGACAGAAGATGATGACAGCAACTGCTATTTTAGATACTGCAGTCAAGGAAGGCCTCTCTCTGGAGGCGACTTTGCAAGAAGCAAGGGAGCAGAACGTGTGCGAATCTGAGGAAAGCTCACCAGGGACCGGGCAGAAGGGAAGTGTAGAACCCTGGGGGCAGGGAGGGGGGCAGCTGGCGGCAGCTGCTAACTCTTGCGCTGTGCTGTCATGATAACTGATAACGGAGAGTTGGCACAACTAAGATGCCCTCCCAGCGGGGGTTGGTTGGAACAACCTAATATTCTGGGTTGGATTCTAGACAAGAAAAAGAACGTTAGTGGGACAACTGGTGAAACTTCAATAAGGTCTGGAGAGTAGTTACTAATTTATATGGATGTTAACTTCTTGGTTTTGATAACGGTACCGTGGTCAGGAAAGCTATTAACATTTTCCGTGGTCATGAAAGCTATTAACATTTTCCGTGGTCATGAAAGCTATTAACATTTTCCGTGGTCATGAAAGCTATTATCATTTGGGAGCACTGGGTAAGGGGCATATGGGAATTTCATGTACTATTTTTGCAAGTCTGAAACTGTTTCAAAATGAAAAGTTAAAAAAGAATAAAATATCTTTTAAGTCGCCCTTTCCTCTGCGCCCTGACAACCACTTCGTATCCATGCTTGGAGTCCTGCTCTTGACTTCATTTCTTCCTTCACAGGCTTATGGAAAGTCCAGAGTCTCTGGTAAGAGAAAGCTCTGGGTTCTCGTCGCGGCTTCGGCTCACCTAGCCCTGGAAGCGTGGGCAAGTCATTGGTCTCACAAGTCAGGTTCCTCCTTTATAAAACGGCAATACCAAAACATACCCCGGCAGGAAAGACTGTGTGAAGATTAAGTGAAATAAAACAAGATAACAAATGGTAACACTTAGTCAAAGACCTGGCAGTGGGAAATGTTGAGCAACTATTGTTTCCTTCCCACATTCGCTTAGGTGCCCCTCACAGCTGTTAGCACATGGCTAAATGCTCCCTGTCTTCCTTTTTGGGATGCTCATTACATATCCTTTGTCCACCAATGAAGGTCAAGATCCACAACAGCAGGGGCTGTACACTGTGACGCTGCGGTAAAGGAGGCCCTTCTCTTTCATTTGCTGTATTCAGCAAATAGTTACTGCATGTGCTAGTCAGGGTGCAGAGAGCAGAGAACAAGGCAGCTGGGCTCCTGCCAGCATGGCGAGTGGAGCGGCAAACAGACCAAACGGGAAAACAGAGCAGCAGACAAACCAGCAGTTAACTCTAGCTGGCGATGGAGGAGAGTCGTTGGAAGGGAAGAGGTCTTACTGGGGACAGAGTGGTCAAGGAAGGCCTCTTCTCTGAGGACAACCTTTGAGCTGGGGATGCTCCAAGAGGAAGCCAGCAGCGCAGACTGGGGGTATAGCACCAAGGCCTGGAACAGGCGGAAGCGGGCGTGTTCTAGGAGTTGCCAGGAGGCCTTGGTAGGGCAGGACGGGCAGAGAGCACCAGGGAAGAGGTCAGCAAAGTGGGCAGGGGCCAGGTCCCGGGAGAGGGTAGAAAATTGCTGGTGGCTTTTAAAGCGGGGAAGCACCTGCTCTGACTTCCCTTTCTAAGAGCTCCCTTGGCTGCTGTGTAGCGGGTATAGTGAAAGGGAGTAGAGTGGAAGGTGGCAGGGGAAACCGAGTCACTAAGTGGGTGAGAGGACAAAGGCCTGGCATAGAGGGGGTACTGGAGATGGAGAAAGGTGGGGATGGACACCAGACCTGAGATCTGTGCCCTGCTGGCTGTGGGGAGGATGGGGTGGCCCTTGTGTGCCTGAAGTCTGGATCACAGTGCACTGCAGGGGAACGCAGGCCTGAGGCATGGAGGAGGGAGGACCTAGTGACACTGGGACACTTTCTTGAGGCTCACGGGCCCAGTCCTTCCCTGACAATGACTTCCGCATGACTCAAGTCTCTGAGCTCTGGCTCCTCCATCTGCCCACACATCAGCAGTGTCACAATCACCAAAGTCCAAAACCACCTTTGTCAACTCTTCCTCCTGCTGCCTCTCTTCCTGGAAAAAGGCCTGTTACACAGCTTTAGTGCTGATTTAACTCTCTCCCTGGCATACGTGACCAGAATCCCTCTCAAGTCCCTACCACATGGGCTCACCAGGGAACGGGCCCTAGAAGCTCTTAACCAGACCCTTACGAAAGCCTCCTTTACTCAGCTCTTGGCCTTCAACCCAAACTGCAAGCCACTGGCAAAAATTTAAGTTCCTAAAGCACTGATGTTGACTGGGTCCCGCTACTGCTCAAAAGCCTTCGGTGGCTCGCACAGCTTACAGAGAAGAGAGTGTCTGACTCCTGGGCAGGCCCTCCAAACTGGGACTGAGGCAAGTCTCTGCCTCCTCCCCTCCGCATGGCCCAGTGAGAACCCTGTGCTCCTGAGGGGGAACAAGCAAACGCCCGCAAATGTCCACCAGCTGCACAATGGATAAATAAGCTGTGATATAGTCAGACCACGGAAAACTACACAACCAGGAAAACAAATAGTCTAGAGCAAGGGTCTCCAATCCACAGACCAGTATGGGCCGGTGGCCTGTTAGGA